TTCTTCTTTGTTGAGTGTTTGGAGCTTGTATTTTTCTAAGAATATGTCCATTTTATCTAGGTTGTCGATTTTGTTGGAATAGAGTCCATAGTATTTTTTCATAATCATTTGTATTTCTATGGGATCAGTTGTTACTTTACCTCTTTCATTTTTGATTTTGTTTATTTGGTCTTCTATCTTTTGCTTCTTGGTGAGCCTGGCTAAAGGTTCATCAATCTTGTTTATCCTTTCAAAGAACCAGCTCTTGGTTTTGTTCATCTTTTGTATTTTTTTTTTTTTTTTTGGTCTCTATGTCATTTATCTTAGCTCTGATCTTTATTATTTCCTTCCTTCTGCTTATGCTGGGCTGTTTTTGTTGCTCTCTTTCTGAGTCATTGAATTTTATGTTAGATAATTTATTATCATTGTTTCTTGTTTTTTGAGGTAGGCCTTAGAACTATGAACTTCCCTCTCAGAACTGCTTTCACTGTGTCTTATAGATTTTGGATTGTTGTATTTTCATTGACATTTGTTGCCATGATGTTTTTTATTTCTTCTTTGATCTCTCTGGTAACCCAGTCATTATTTAATAGCATGCTATTTAGCCTCCAGATGTTTGATTTTTTAAATTGTTTTTATTGTAGTTGATTTTCAGTTTTATGCTACTGTGATCTTAGAAGATGATTGATATGATTTCTATCTTCTTGAATTTGAAGAGACTTTGCCCATGTCCCAATATATGGTCTGTCTTTGAAAATGACCCATGTGCACTTGAGAATAATATATATTCTGTGGCTTTGGGGTGAAATGTTCTGAAGATGTCAGTTAGTTCCATCTGATCTAGTGTGTCATTTAGAATTGATGTTTCTTTGCTGATTTTTTGTTTAGGATTTGTCCAGTGGTGTTAGTGGGGTATTAAAGACCCCTACTATGACTGTATTGCTGACAATTTCTCCTTGATATCTCCAGAAGTTTGTTTTTTTTTTTAAATGTATTTGGGTGCTCCTATATTGGGTGTGTATATGTTTATCAGAGTTATATATTCTTGTTGGGTTGCTCCCTTTAGTATTATGAAGTGGCCTTCCTTATCGCTTGTTATGGCCTTCACTTTGAGATCTAATTTGTCAGATATAAATATTGCTACCCCAGCTTTTTTTTTTTTTTTTTTTTTTTAACTTTCATTTGCTTGAAAAACCTTTCTCCATCCCTTTGCTATCAAGTCTGTGTGAGTCCTTTTTTCTGAGGTGGGTTTCATGTAGACAGACAATAATACTCTACAATTTCTAACTTATGAAATCAATAATCAGTAATCTTTTAAAGAAATATAAAATTTTACTTACATGTATGTATTTCCACACATATATACTAGTATGAGGGTGTGTGTGTGTGTGTGTGTGTGTGTGTGATTTTTTGGGGTCTTTTCTTTTTTAATGCCAACATGTTTATTATCCACTCTGATTTTCTTCATTCTTTTAAGCAGAACTGAATTTTTTAACTTGTGCCACATCCCTGAAGTTCTTTAAGCTAAATTAATTTGAGCATTTCTTGTAATGCAGGACTGCTGGAGAAGAATTCTTACTGTTCTGTGTGTCCGAAACTGTCTTTATTTTGCCTTCATTTTGGATGCATATATAATTCTACAATGATAGTTTCTTTCCCCTTAGCACTTCAAAGAAGTTGTACCATTTTTCTCAGGCTTCCATTCCCTCCCCCCCTCCCCCATGGCTAGTCATCCATTTTTCTTATTGTTTTACTATATGCTATCCTTTGCTGCTTTCAAGATTTTCTTTTTATGATGTGCCTAAGTGTGTGTGTTTTTTTTATCCTGCTTGGGGCTTATTCTATCACTTTTGGAAAATCTTAGCCATTATCTCTTCAAATCATTCTTCTGCTCAATTTTCTCTTTCTTCACATTCTAGGATTCTGATTACATCATGTTAGACTATTTGATACTTATTTCAGACAGACCTGAAGGATTTTAATTGGTGGAAGTGACTGAGTGACAAGATGGTGAGGCTGATGCCACTTAAAGAAAATTTTTATTACTTAATTTCCGAGACAAAAAGCCAGGTCACACCATAAAGACCCATGTGGGCAAACATCAGGTTTGGGCCAGGAGTCAAGATTGGCTAGTTTGAATAATATTGGTGAGCACTGGGTTATAGGGGTGGTTTCTGGTTGTCTGGTACCTGGCCATGGGGTAATGTAGGGCAGGGGAAACTGGGTTGGTGGGAATTCAGTAAAGGGAATGGTTGTGATATAGACTCAGGCTTGGTTGGTTTGCATATGAAAGGTGTCCTCCTGAAGTCTTCATCATTATTTTATTTTCCATTCCTGCATATCCATTTGTCTCTTTTTAATAGTTTCCAATTCTTTGCTGAAATTCCCTTCAGTTTATGCATGCTGGCCACTTTTTTAGGTTTCTGTCTGATATCTCCCCAGTCCCATATCTGGGTTATTTCTAGGTTTGGTTCTCTTGACTTAACTCTTCCTCTTTTGATGTTGGGTTACATTTCCTTGTTTCCTTGCTTGCCTTGTTTTGTTGAATGCCAGATATTGTGTGTAAGAGCTTAGAGACTAAAGTAATATTTATACCTGATAAAGAGCTTTTCCATTTTCCCATCAGGCTACTAATGTGTAAAGCTGTCACTTCAGTTGGTATTGAGCTGATTAATAGCTTTTCTGCCTAGTATTCTTTTGTAATATTAAGAATTTTCTGGCAGAATCTCCTTATGTCTGAATAAAACTGAACAGAGAGAGACCGACCTTTGGTCCTGAGAATCAAATGTGAAGGAAACAGACCAAATAGTTAACTGTGCTGTCTTGGAAGTGGAATTAGGATGGGGTGAAAGTGACTTTCTGGTTTTGTAACAATGTATTTCTTTCATAAATAAAAATTTAATCATTGCTACCACCTCTTGCCCATTAGGATGGCTTTTCCACACCACACAGTTCTCCAATTTTTTGCAGAGACCAATTGAGAGTCCTACAATTAAACTCATTCTGACAATAACCAGAGTCAGCACAGATCCCACCAATTAGGGGCTCAGTCCCACAGGTCTGCCCTCTCCCAATTTGGGGGCCATTTACAAATCCAGGTCAAAACCTGTGCTTTTGGCTGACTGGTTATAAATTGAGGGTTACCATGATCCCCTTGGGTTCAATAAGAAGTTGGGCCCTGGCCAGTGTTGCTCTGTGGTTAGAGCATTGGCCAGTTTACTGAAGGGTCTCGGGTTCCATTCCTGGTCAAGGGCAAGTGCCTGGGTTAAAGGTTTGCTCCCCGGTTTTGGTCAGGGCTCCAGCAGGAGGCAACCAATCGATGTGTCTATCTCACATGAGTATTTCTCTCTCTCAAAATCAATGGAAAAAATATCCTCAGTGAGGATTAACAAATAAAAAAGTTATTTATGTATTGGGAAGAGGATATTTAAAATCTACAGAAGAGGATATTTAAAAATCTTTAAGTTACCAGCCAGTCAGAGAGATATATTGGACAAAGTATGGGAGGCGGGGCTTGGAGCTTCCATGCTCTCTCTGAGCATGCCACACTCCCAGCACCTCATTGTGTTCGTCAGTTTAGAAGCTGTCCAAATCCTAGGGATTTTTATAGAAGCTTTCTTGTGTAGCAGATGATTGATCAAATCATTGGCCATTAGTGATTGAACTCATTTTCCAGCCCCTCTCCTTGCCTAATAAGGGTAGGAGAGGATAGGGCTTAAAGTTCAAAATTTCTGATCTTGTGGTTAGTTCCCTAGGCAATCAGCCCCCATCATGGGGCTATCCAGGAGCCCCCAGGCTCATCATCTCAATAGTGTGCAAAAAGATACAGAGATTACAAAGGTTTTTTAAGGAACTGTGTGTTAGAAAGTGGAATCAGAGACCATATATATATATATATTTATTATTATGTCACACCCAGTACTTCTACTGCTGGGTGTATGCCCAAAAGAATTGAGCACAGGCCCTTGAGAAGATCTTTGTATGCCTATGGTAACAGCAGCCTTGTTTACAATAATCTAAAGGCGGAAGCATCCCAAGTGTCCATTGAGGGATGAATGGATGAGCACATGCATACAACAGAATATACAACAATATTTTCAGCTTTCAAAAGAAGGAAATTCTGAAATATACTACTTTATCCATGATGAAAATGGAGGATATTATTCCAAGTGAAATGAGCAAGTCATTAAAAGACAAACACTGTATGATTCCACTTGTAAGTGTTCCCTAAAGTAGTCAGATTAGACTCAGAAAGCAGAAGGATAGTTGTCTGGTGCTGGGAAGGAAGGAGAATGGGGAGTTCTTTATGGGTACAGAGTTTTAGTTTTAGAAGAGGAAGAGTTCTAGAGCTTAGCTGTTCAATAATGTTCTTGAGTACATCAACTCAACCCTGTTGAACTATACAGGTTGTTACATTGTAAATCAGAAGAAGCCTTAATCAATAAGCCACATTTATTTGGAGTCCTTTTCATTTCGTTAGTCCGAGTAGGCACAGAGGAAATATTGCTTCTCAAATTCTGGGACCCGATATGGTGGAAGTCTTCCCTATTTATATGTTTTTTTTTTAGCTCTTTGTTTTCCAAATTTGGAATGAGATTTTCAGACCTTCTGAGAAAAAAATCCTATGTGCTGGGACAGGGCTGTGAGACCATATCTTAATGCCTGGCCTGGAACCAGCACTGACAACTCTGTCTGGGGCATAGTTGATGGCCTCTCTGGAATGGGGAGTAGTCTTATTTTTCCCTATTATTTAAGCAAGCAAACGTTTACAGAAGCCAGAATAGCAGGGTTAAATTTTAAACAGCAGCTTTTACCGAAGATGAGGTTACTATGCTTCAAGGTAACACAGTTAAGATGGTAAATTTTATGTATATTTTCTCCTAATTAAAAAACAACAAAACAAAAACAAACAAACAAAAAACCCCCACAAAACTTAGTCACCATCACAAAACATTAGAAAACGGAAAAGGAGATTTGTTTTCAGCAGCCGAGGAATAACCTGATTGTTTCGTGTCTTTCAGGCCCGGCGTGGCCCTGACCATGCAGGCGTTTTCAGAAGAGGAGAGGAAGCAGTGGCTGGAAGCTCTGGGTGGAAAAGAAGCTGTAAGAATAATCAGTGGTTGAGTTTAATTCCAAATCCCGTAGAGTTGTGTTCATTTTTCTGTTATTTTATAATATTTGTAAAAAGTTCCCTGCTGAAACTGGTGCTTGAATTAATCTCAGATATGTTAAGAATTAGAGTAATTTGGCTTGAGACGGCAGCAGCACACACGAGAGTGGTGTATCATTAGTTTTTATTTTCGATTTTTCATGACTTGCCACTCTGATTTGCTCTGCTTGGGGAAGTCATCTAAGTTCTCCGTTTCTTCTATCTGACAGTACTTTGGGTGATGAGCACAATAAAGGCTTGCAATTTATTTTTATCTCCGTGGAGGTGAAATAGTAAATACGAGGCAGGGCAGGCAAGTCCTATAAGCGACTGCTGTAATTATGTCGCTTGCTTTAACAACTTGTGATTTAGCCTAACGGAACACTGCGCAGCGTTATGCAGCCTTAGTGAGGGGGCGTGTGTATTTGGATTGGTTTGAGGAACAGAGTCAGAAATATAGATCCAGAGGCACAGAAATCCGGTCTGTTTGCCACTACTTTCGTTTCAGTGGCCTTTGGGGGTTGAAATTGGGCAGATCATGTGTTGAATTGGGGACTTAGGGTCATTATAGAAACAAATCTATATAGAAATAAATCTGTTGGCAAAGGTAGCCTCACCTTGAAGACATATATAACCTTTCTGTAAAGAGTAAAGAGCCGAGTAATTCATTCGAGATACACAGATAAAGGCAAGTCTGCAGAAAGAAATATAGTCATGCACTGCTGATATGCACCACATATCATATGCTATGGAGGTCACACAGGATTATATTGGAGCTGAAAAATTCCCATAGTCTATCATAGCCTTTGTGATGTATGACTCACATGTTTGTGCAGACATGCCTTTGTAAACAAACCTACTGTGAAGCCAGTAGTATTGAAGTATAGTCCCATTTACCATTACTATAGTAGGCTACAGCATCTAGGTATATGCTCACACAATGATACCATCACCTAACAATGAATTTCTCAAAACATAGCCCCTTTTGGTAAGTGGCACATAACTGTGTCCAGCTGTGTATTTATGTGGCAACAGTTAAGGTACTGTGTCGTTTTTGCAGGTGCTGTATATGCCTTGCACATAATGGGGAAGCACAAGAATTCTTAGAGGCAGCCTGGAGTGATCACCTACCTATTTCAGATGTGGTTATTTACATTATGGACCTGAGTCATCTCTGAATTAAGTAAAAACAAGGTTTTAGAAAAAACGAGCTTCACCTTACGGATCAAAATGCAGCAATGTCTCTGTCCTTCTAGAGTTGTCAGGCTGAGCATTTCATATTCGCATGGACTTTCAAGAAGTTCCCTAAGGATTGTGATCCCTTCACCTTGTTTTTGCTCCCTCAGGAGAGACGGAGTAGGCTAGCTGTCTACATTAGAGCACATGATGGGAATTCCTCAATACTACTGTGCTTTTTGCAGGGTCCTAGGTGTGCCTACATTTTATTGATTTGTTAAAAATACTGTTTCTCCTTTTTTCTCTCTTAACCAGCTGCTCCATAGTTTTAATAGAGCCATCGTCCCAAGACCAGAAGGAAGTAAGTGCCAATTTATAAAACGAACTGTTTGCCTCCTTTTTCCACTAATGTTTTTGTTTGCATTACTGATGCCAGACTGTTGCTGGGTGCCCACTCTCTGCACCCCTCTCTGCGCTAGCCCTCCAGATACGATGTGTATTTTGCCTTATCCACTGTGGACCTGCTCAGATTTTCCTGGGCTTTTGTAACCCTCATTGATCCCATCTCTGAGCATTAAAATAAATTATTTCTCTACAATAACTTTCTCTAAAAACCCAAAATATATTCTGTCATTCACTTTGATATTTATTCTTGTAGCCACACATGAACACATAGGAGTGTCAGGGGTGCATCTTTATAAATTCCTGTTGGAAGGAGCTGCTTATCAGGTCTCTTATTGGCCACAGCTCCCTTACCCTTGATGCCCTTTATCCTGAGAGTCTCTGCCTATGGCTCCACAAATAACATATCTTAGAAAAGAACAGTGACCAAACATACTCAGTTGTTCTAGGACAGTGATTTTCACATGCATTGTATGTATGCACTAGAGGAAAATGAAGTACTGCTTGGCTCTGTAGTTTGGCTTTTACTGAGATAAAACAAACATATGATCAGATTTGCTAGATTCTTTATGAATTTACTTTTGATATCTTTGGATAAATTAAGACTGCATGTATCACATGTCCACCATTTGGAGATTATGTCACATAACGTACAATTTCAGAATTACCATGATGTGCGTATCACTTGAGCCAGCATATGAATAAAATGATATCTTTTCTAGCCTGGCTCTGGAAAGGGACAGTGTGCATGCAAGGTTGTAAATGTACTGCAGCATCTTCTTAACTTCTTTCTGCCCTCCTTTCTCTTCCTCCTTTTCCTCTTGTCTGTCTCCCTCCATCCCTGCATCCCTTCCTCTTTTTTTTTTTCTTTTTTCTCTCTTGCCCCTCTTTACCTATTTTCCGCTATATTTCTCTTTTTTCTCCTTCTCTCTTTTCTTTCTTATTTTTTTTTTTTATAGAGAAATGGAAACAAGCCTTTAAAAAAGTTTTGCCAAACAGAAAGTATCACTTGCATTTTCTCAGCAAACCACTGCCCGATTTTCCTCATTAAATCTATTTTCAAGCATTACACCTGCAAAATTTGTATTCCTGGATTGTTCATGCTATCCCTGCTGAGAGGCAAGAGTTAGCATTACTGTTGCCTAATTCTAAAGGCAGAACTAAACTATTTGCTTTCCCTGTTTTCATTTTGACACAAGAATTGTCTTTTATTAAGTGCTCAAATATGCCAGCCTAATCCATAGGCAAGTGTCTGTATTAGAAAAAAACTAATATTATATTTTCAAAATAATCTATACAAATCATCTGTTCTAAATTCATTGTGAAAACAATAAAATATTAAATGCTTAGAGCATGGAATAAAATATAAAATTCTTTTTGAAGCTCATGACCCAAATAATGTTTTTAAAAAGTGTTTCTTAAATATTTTTCCCTAGGTTTTTAAAAAAATAGTGTATGTTATTTCTCCAACTGTCAAGTAATTTTAAAATCTTTCTCATATAACTTTTAAAACCTCCACTGATATATAATTTTAAAAGAAGTTGTTGGAATTTTGGCGAAATGTATCTTAATTATTTCCATATAGCTTCCCTTAAAGGTTTTTTTTTTTTATCACTTTCTCTTCCATTGTTTGATATAAGTTGTATTTATTAATATAAACATTGTGTTAAGCTGGAAATTTATTGATATTGATAGTAAATGGCCTAATAGTCCATTAAGTGCTCCTCAAAATATTTGAAATTGTCATTTACATTATTTAAACAGGGAATACAAGGCCTTTGACTTTCTTTTTCTTAATAGGAAAATAAAAATTAAACTGAGTTTAAATAAATTTTCTTGTTTTTGTAAGGAAGAGAAATGCAAGTAATTAATTGTGGCCTTCATGTTTTATCACTATTTCTTTTAGGTGCACAGTTGGATAAAATGGGATTCACAATTCTCAAAAAGTGCATCAGTGCAGTTGAAACACGAGGTAATATGATTGAGTCATTTTATTCATGAAAGGTTACAGGTATGTGAAATCTGAGAGATGTTTGAAATGCTCATTGCATGGTTGAGTGTCTTAAAGGCAAATACATGGAAGAAAAAGCACATTCTCCATGTCAGAAATTCCGTTGTTCATTTATTGTGTCAGGATGGGGTTTTCTTTTCCCTTACATATTCCTCCCTGCACTGAAAAGGAGAATTATGGAAGAATCATCAGTGTTGGCTGCCAATCTTTTTTTTTTTTTTAAATATATTTTATTGATTTTTCACAGAGAGGAAGAGAGGGATAGAGAGCTAGAAACATCGATGAGAGAATCATCGATCAGCTGCCTCTTGCATACCTCCTACTGGGGATGTGCCCGCAACCCAAGGTACATGGAATTGAATCCAGGACCTTTGAGCCCGCAGGCTCTATCCACTGAGCCAAACCGGTTTTGGCTTGGCTGCCAATCTTAATCACCTTTTGTTCATGCATTATTGAGATAGTCCCATCTTCCATGGTCATGTTGGCCTCTATTGAAAAAATAAGCCTCTTTGGTGTCTCATTTACATATAATATAGTTCATTGACTTTAGTGATACAGATTGATGAGCTTTGATAAATGTATACAGTTATAGAACTACTACTGCAATCATAGATTGCTCTCTCTCCTCATAATTCCTTTGTGCCTCTTTGCAATCAATCCCTATTCATTCCTTGGCCCTTGGCAATCACTGAGCTGCTTTTTTTTTTTTTTTTCACTATAGTTCTTTTAAAAAGTAGCATTTTATATAAATGGATCAATGCAGTATATATAGTCTTTTGAGCCTACCTTCTTTATTTGACTTAATGCTTTTGAAATCCTTCTTGTTGGGTGTATCTTTAGCTAATCTTTTTTTTTATTGCGAGGTAGACTTCCATGCCATGGGTGAACTGATTTTGTTTTTATCTTTTAATATGTTGATAAATATTTGGGTTGCTTCCATCCTAAATTGAAGGGAAGCTAATCCTTTCCCCAGCCAAAAGTCCACGGGCATTTCTTTACAGTCCTTAAAAAACCACAAGAAGGCTGTGGCACTTTGCAACCCTTCCAGCCAACTTCAGAGAAACTAACAATTGAGCCATGCAAACGGGCATTTTGGAGGTTAAATTTCTTTCTGTTAAGAGACTTGGTGAAGTAGTGGAATGTTGAGAACTTAATTCACTTTCATGCATGTACATCAGGGGTCTACTTTGGATGGCTTAGTCAGATGAAGCATTGCATTCGTGTTTTCTGTCAAAACAAGGCCTTTGTCATATACAAGCCAGGACTGCTGCCTGTGAAATTAGTGTGGAGGAGACGCGCTGTTCTGTGATTTGGGGATTTGCCCACCAATTACAAAGACCTCAACCACAGAGTTTTCTCCCAAACTCTTGTTACAGTGGCCAGTGAGGCTCTGACAGTGTTCCCTCATGTCCACATGCGCCAAAGTTGAGCTGACAAATGTCTTCATTTTCCTCGTGCTTCAAAAATTTCCAGACTTCAGAAAAATCCTGTGATTTTCATATCTCTCCTTATTCATGTTTCTGTTCTTCCCGAGCCTCTTAAGAACCTTAATTGTATTCCTCGCATGATTATTATTTTGATAATTAAATGATTTCCCCCAAAGTTATATTTTATACATTTTCTGAACTGATAAAAATCTGTGTAGAACTCTTCCTGGTTGATATGTGTAGCTTTTTGGAATCTTATGTACATTGAATAGAACATGCAGGATGGGGCAAGAATAGGTGTACCATTGTTTGTTTAGAAAATAATGCATTAATTAATGGTAATACAAGAATAAACTCTGTGTTTTGTGTATTCACAACTGTAAACCTACTCTTGCCCCACCCTGTATATATTAGAACCTGTATATATGGAATGTATTTTTATTATAAATATATTCAGTTGTTGGATTTTTTATTTTTTAAACATCACCCGAGGATATTTTTTCCATTGCTTGTTGTAGAGAGAGTAGAAGTGAGGTCTGGAAGGAGTGAGGGAGGAGGAAGAGAGGGAAATAACAATGTGAGAGAGACACGTTGATTGGTTGCCTCCCAAATAAGCTCTGATAGGAGCTGGGGATTGAACCTGCAACCCAGGTACTTGCCCTTGACTGGGAATCAAGACTGAGACCCTTCTGTTTGCAAGACAATGCTCTAACCATTGAGGAAACTGGCCACGGCTGGATGTTTATAACAGAAAAATGATTCTATACTTTTTAAGTTAGGTTTTCTCATTTAAATATTTAAAAAAAAAACCCACATTTTTTCAAATCTTTTGTTCTCTCAGGGCTTCCATTACTAAAGCCTTTTGTTTTTAATGGAGTAATAGACTGAAAATAGAGTTAAAGAATCAACTGTCAGATGATATTATTAAAAATAATGAGGAACATTAGAGAATCTCTGAGGCTTTTTATGCTAAATTTGGAAGCTCTTTCAAGGAATTTGGTTTTAAATTTGGATTTCCCCCCAGTCAGCTCTAATTGCTGCTATTGATATTTTTTTATGCTACAGGTGTTGTTGTCTCACTTTATTTCATCAGTCAGAATAAAACCACTTTACGGTATGTTCCTCTAACAAGAGACCCACAAGGACTGACTTTTCTCTTAGGTAGGGGTAGATGGGCTTTGCTTATCACTGATACCTGGCCTTGAAGGTGCCTGGTCCATTTTGCAATCCAAAGAAGTTAAAGGTTCCAGGTGCTGGAAGGTGGGGAGGGGCAGGGTTCAGTGAGAGCAACGCCCTGGGACCTAACTCAGATACAGAGAACAAACTGATGGTTACTAGAGGGGAATCAGTAGCAGAGATGGGAGGAAAAGGGGAAGGAGATTAAAAAAATGCAAACTTCCAGTTATAAAATAAGTCAAGAGGATATAATGGACAGCACAGGTAATACAGTCAGTAATTTGTAATAATTATGTGTGGTTACCAGAATTACTGGGGTGATTCCTTTGTGAAAGGTATATAAATGTTGAACCACTATGTGGTACACTTGAAACTCATACAACGTTGTACATCAAGTATAATTAACAAAAAACAAACTTAAAAAACAATGGTCGAGACCAAAAGAAAAACAGGAGAGGATTGTGGAGTAAGGGCGACACTGTTACTCTGAGGGAGGTTTACTTATTCATGAATTGATAAGCAGTTGTCAGGCTTAAGCTTCAAAGTGGTGAGATACGATTGGCATCTTGGGAAGAGTCTTAACCTCTGGGACTCTTGATTTCTAAAAGACTGTAACTTGGAATTTCATCCATGCTGTCTACCTCGGTGCATGTTTGTGAGGATAAAGAGCTAATTTTTGTACATAGTAGATATTCATTAACTATATTTGTCCTCTTTCCATCCTTTCCCTGAATTCTTTTAATTGTGAAATGTCCATGTTCTTCCTTTAACAACTATATCGCATAGTGTGTTCATTACATTTCATGTATTTATCTTGTTTCTGAAACTTGACAATTTCCTTTTTGTGGAGAAAATGTCTAGTGTGTTTGCCTGCCTCTTTTCATTTCTAAGTTTGGTGTCTTGCACATATAGTAAGCAATTACTTTCTATTTGAGTTTTCAGAGATTTGATTAAAATGGTATCTTAGCACTATTGTGTGTCTCAACTGTTTGTAAAATTACTGGAAGAATTTATTCTATATTTGGTTGGAATTAGTACTTTCAAATAACAAAGGATTGTTTTTTACCGGTTTATCAGTTTGTCAGCATCTTTCTGCATTCTGGATAATATTTCAGATATCGATAGAAAGATGTATCATATTACATGTGGAAGAGTCTTTATGGTTTCAGAACTTGGGAATTCACTACCTAATTTATTTAAAAGAAACCATCTCCCATACCCAGTACATTGTCTTGTTCTGGAACTGCAAGACACCTAGTTTTTCAGGTACTACTTGCATTGTAAAATATGCAACAATTAAGTAAGACTCTTTTTTTCTTAAAAACTTCTTTTAGTTGCTATTTTTTAAATAGTCATCATGGTTTAAAATTAAATCTGTATGCAACTTTTGTTTATGAAGTTTCCCTTAAAAATATCTTCCATATGGGAATAATTTGAATATACACTTTAATTTCTAGAGTATGGCATTAAAATGTCGGTCTAGGCAAGCTGTCAGTAATCAGGTTCAGCCTTGTAACAAGCTGTGAATTCCTGGGCTAGAAGTAGGAAGCCCCCTATAAGATGTGACAGTCTTAGATTTGTCACATGTGAAAGTGAATTTCTCTTTCTTTGAAAAAGCAGTTTAGGTTTTTGGAAAATCTATCTGAATTTGGGTTGAGGATTTTCCTATTTCCCGAGCATTTCCAGACTTATATGGGGGTCTCACAATGGGTCTGGAAGAAGATAATAATGTAGAGTTTTAGTATTAATCTTTGTGGGAGGGAAGACGCCCAAAGTGAACTTGCAATATATTTTGCCATGATTGCACATTAATCTTAAATTGCCGAGGGCAAATTACGTGCAAAATGAAGAAAATAAAGAACAGCTGTCCCCAGGAAATTTTACAGCCAGTAAATGAAAGTTTTTTGCTCACTGTCTCTTTTTTAATCATAATATAATGGATGTGAGAAGAGTGTGGGTGGATACAGAGGACAGTCTTATGTGGGAGGAGGGAGCTGGGGAGTCTTGTGGTGTCTGCAAAAATGCATATGCAAAACTGAAATACTAAATCCAGGCTAGTCGGGACTGATTATTCATTTTCTCAATTAGTCATCTTATTTGCTTTAAGAAAAAAAATAAGTTTCCAAAGCTATTAGCTGCCAAATGAATGGTTGAATAAGATTAATAGGGACAAATTGTTCAACTGTCTTGCTACAGAGTAAACATGCTAGATTTTATGTGTTTGGTTCAAATTCTGATGAGGTCCTTGTAAGGCTCAGTGTTCACACAGTGGTGAAGAGTGTGAGCTCAGAACTCAGCCTTGTTTGGAAGACTTGTTAACTCTACAACCAAGTTAGTTACTTAACCTCTCCATGTCTT